CCAGAGGAAGCGAGAACGCCACTGATTCTGTGCAAGGTAGGGAAGAGAAAGAAGATGGGTCTCTTCTCCTCTTGACTATGCATGACTATCCCTTCTTGCATGGTGCCTTCCTCATACAGCTTCCCCAGTCCTGTCCTGCCACCTCTCACTGCCTTGGGAGGAAACCCCTTATTTGGCAGATTGGTCCTTGATACCTTGGTACCTGTGGAGCATGAAAAGGCTGATGGAAGGACTGCAGCCTGCTTTGAGAGTTGGAGTATGCTTTTTGTATGGGGAAAGAGTACTCATGCCTGATCATTAAAGCTGGTCTCTGAAGAACACAATAGCCATTAGAGACATCAGGAGATGTCACCTCATCCCTAATTATCTGTGAAATGTGTAGTTTCTTTTACAAGCCCTCACAGGAAGCAGAGAAGGGGACAAGAAATTGTTTCCATCTGGCATTCAGCTGTTTGACAGAAACTTCTCTATGCTACCCACTGTTCACTGCCTTTGTCTTTTTGTTGGTCTGTATTTCTCACTTTCTCCCATGTGGAATTTCAAAAGTTTTCATCTCCTTTCTTCAGCATCTCCTGTCTTCTTGTTGTCTTTGCTTTTCCATATCCTGTGCAATCCTCTGTCCCTCTCTACCTCCCTTAACATCTGTATGTCCCTTGCATTGTTGCTCTTGTTGTCTGGGCTTTTCCATTCCCCCAGGCCTCCCTCTGTATCCCTTTACCTCCCTTACCTCTGCGTGGCCCTCACACACTGTTGCTTCTGTGGTTTTGCTCTCTTCCTCGCCATGTCTCTCACACCCTCCACCTCCCATGTTTCCCTCAGGAGATCCTCTGTCGATACACCACTACTTCCATGGTTACTTGGCTGGCTTCACTGTGCGCCCTGGTAGCTTGGAGAGCCGGGAGGTTATTGAATGCCTGTATGCCTGCCGTGAGGGGCTTGATTACAGTGACTTCGACAGTCTGGGCAAAGGGATGAAGGTATGCCCATCTGCCCAGCTTGCATGGGTCTCCTCCACTCTCCTCCCCAGCCTTGCTTCCTGAGACTTTGCCTGCTCCCTCACCTCAGACAGCTCCCCACCTTTCTCCGATGTGTGTCTCTCAGCCTAGATTCCTGTAATTTGCCAAGGAACCATGAGTATTTTCTTCCACCTCTAGGTTCATGTGAACCCCTCTCAGTCCCTGCTTACCTTGGAGGGTGATGATGTGGAAACCTTCAACCATGCAATCCAGCACGTGGCTTACATGAATTCACTGCGTTTTGCTACCCCTGGCGTCCGGCCACTCAGGCTCACCACTGCTGTCAAGTGAGTGGGCAAACCAGCACCTCTGGCTCAGTTCAGCAAGAGGGTTGCCTGTCTTTTTGACTAAAGTTACACTGCCTCACTTTGTATCTTAAAATAATTGTATTTTAAGATGGTCTCAAAATGAGTAAAAATCTTCCTGAAAATAAATGATAAATTATCCAATATCCAAATGGATACTGTAGTACTGGTTCCTAGTGCCTATGCAGAACTTCTGCCTCCACTCACAGTGTTCCAGGCATGTGAACTGGTTTTAATTTTCTCTGTATTTGTCGATGTGACCAAGCCACCAGATCCCAGTGGTGTCACTCCTACCACACATCTCTGCCCTGTGCAGCAGGCTGTAGGGAAGCTTTAGGAAGACTGCTGGAAAAAGGATATTCCCTTCCCTGGAAGTAATGGGCAGGAGGCTGTATTTTATAATGTTGTTGTTGTTGGAAGCTTGGGGCAATTGCTGTTTTCTACTGCTCTCCTTCAGGTGTTTCAGTGAGGAGTCCTGTGTCTCCATTCCTGATGTGGAAGGCTATGTTGTGGTGCTACAGCCTGATGCCCCCCAGATCTTGCTGAGTGGCAATGCCCACTTTGCTCATCCCGTGTCAGACTTCGAGGCTCCAGAAGGAATTCCCCTGTTCCCCAACCTCCAGATCACCTGCTCTATTTCTCACCAGGTGGAGGCCAAGAAGGAGGAGAACTGGCACGGTACCGGTGAGTGGAGTACAGGGCAAGGTGTAAGAGACAAACTGGAAAGACCTACAAGAGTTGTGGTCCTGCAGAGGAAGTAGAGCCTCTATAATTACACCCAAAAGTGAGAGTTTACAAATTTAGAAGCAAGGCACATTGTCTGTCAATATGTAGGCTAATCGGTTCTTATCCCTTTCTGCTCCTCCCTGTACTTTTTCTATCCACTCAGTTCCTTTGCCTCACTCTCTCCTAATTCTTTCCCAGGCTGCTCATTCCTAATCCCTTTTACATTTTACCTACATTTCGCTTTATTGAATCCAGTGCTGGATGGATGTCCTGCCTGTTACTTTTTCTACTCCTGCACTTACTTAGTCTCATCCCACTTCATTCTCTCCTGCTTTCTTTTCTTACTTCTTGTTCCCTTCCTTCTCTTCCTGCCTCACTTATTCCTGTGAATTCCCCAGTCAGTTTCCTCACACCCTACAGTATCCTGTTCTTCAATTTCTTTCCATCATGCTCAGATTATTTCTCTGCAGTCTATGCTCTATGTGTCCATTCGCTTCTTTCTTATCTGTTCTCGTAATGGGATTTTTTGCTCCTACTTTTCTGTTTAGAAGCTTTGCCTTTCCTCATACAATGATGAGTTCCTTGACTTGAGAGCAGATTGTTCTCAATCCTGCTGAAAGCAGTTAGTTATTGAATGTGGTTGCCATTTTAAAGAAGATAAGATCTCAACCATGGTAACCAACAGTGTGAGACAGGGAAAAGCTTTCAAAAGCATGCAGGGCCTGAGAATGTGTGTGTTGCTCCTAATTTGCACACTGTCATTGTCAACAAAGTCCTTACAGCCAAGATGTGTTATCATGAACCAGACTGATAATAGCATGTTGTTCCAAAATAAAGTGACTTTATTATGTGCATAGATAATGTCATTAGAACCACCCTGCAACAAGTAATTAGACTGACAGTGATTTTACTTAAGGTCAGTGCTAGGTGGAGAAGGAGAAGTAATTACACATGATGTGAGCACTCTTAGGTAAGCAGGTACCCCTCTGAGTAACTCCTTCCTTCTCTGATGGCTGTCTGGCTTTCTGGCCATATATTCTTTCTGTCTGCATCTCAGTGACAGACACACGGATGTCAGATGAGATTGTGCACAACCTGGACGGCTGCGAGATCTCCTTGGTAGGAGATGACTTGGACCCAGAGAGGGAGTACCTGCTCCTGGATGGGGCACTGCTGCAGCAGCGGGGCCTGGAGCTCGTTAACACCTCTGCCTACCTGACCATCACGGGTATGTCCTCTCCATGGCACAGCTATCTAGTTGTCACCGAGTGTCAGGCATCACTGGGAAAAGCATTTGACGTTAGGATGTGTTGGCGTACTTTGTGACACTGAGATGTAACCATTTCTTGAACTCTGGGCTTTTTTGGAAGTCACAGACCACTTCCTTGGGGAGGTGACTTTTCCTCCAGCACAAAGTACTGGGACATGGTGTCAGCTCTCACCCAGGTTTATATCACTCCTCCTGACTTACTCCTTGGGGTTTGGTGTTCTCAGGTGTCAGTAGCATTTTGCATGGCATGACAGGGACAACATATCCCACAACCTGTGGACTGGTACAACGCTTTTGTACTCTCCAGAACATAACAGGGCTGATGCTCTCAATTTCCCTTCCATTTGTTTTGGCGATGCAAGCAGAGATTCCATCAGGTCCTTCGCAGCCGGCTCCCTCTCTGAGCCCTTCCCAAAATTAACGAACCCAGCATTGCTCTGTATCCCTCTGTAGCTTCTGGTTGCTGCAGGGTTAGGATGGCAGGTGACTTTGGAGCAGGAGCTTCCTCACCCCACCCCTCTCTCTCTTCTTGTCTCAGGCGTAGAGAGCATTGCAGTTTACGAGGAGATCCTACGCCAGGTCTCCTACCACATCAACCATGGTGCTGCCCTCTATGAAAGGAAGTTTCACCTGTCCTGCACTGAGATGAATGGACGCTACTCCAGCAATGAGTTTACTGTCGAGGTACAAGACTGATACACACACACAGAGATTCTTCTGCATGCATGGGGAGGACATGGTGCATGGGAATGCATAGAATGTGCCATCGACACAGAGTTGAGTCCCCTCACTGTGGTCTTTCTGCAGGTGAATGTTCTCCACAACATGAACCGAGGTGCTCATCCTAACCATATTCTGAGCTCCCAGCAGTTTGTGCACCGAGGCCATCATTTACCTGCAGAGCTGTCTGGGCACAGTTTGGCAAGCACCCACAACAACCCAAGTATGTAACGCTATCTTTTGGGTTTATTCCTTTAGATCAGGATGCTGATTTTCTGATATCCTGGCAGAACCTGTAGTGGAGGATTCCTCTCATGTTCCCTGCACCCATTATCAGGTTCTCATTATACTGTCCTGTTTCACTCGTCATTAGCTGCAGTTGTGGACTGCAGTCTTTGTCAAATTGTATTTTAAAGCATGCTGCCACAATCCTCCTCTTGTGGGATATTATTTTCTTGATGTTGAAGCACACTGAAATCTCCACCTCAGAGGGTCTAAAAAGAATAACTGTAAGCTAACTTCATTCACGCACCTTGCAAAGGTGCTATGTGGGCTTGTGTAACTTCAGAAAGATGCTTCAACAGTAGGAGAGAAAAGTGAGTCAAGACTGCTACTGCTCTAGAGAAAGAAATGGGCGTAGGTGGTGGTCAGCAAGGCAGGAAAACACAGGACATGGCACCACGCAGACAAGAGGAGGATTCTTGCCCCCTAAACAGAGGAGAGAGAAGCCTGAAAGCTAGACTAGATGTTTGTTTGTGCTGGTAGCCCTGTGCCTCAGGCATGACCACCCTCCAGTCGATTTCTCCTGGGCTGTGAAAGCTCTGGAACTTGTTACAGACATTTTGGTTCCCTGTCGTAGGGAAAAAGCAAGACACCTTTGAGCTAGCTTTCGCTGCAGCTTCCTGCAGTAGCTGATCCCAAGCTGGTCCAGTCCTGCAGCTGGCACTGCAGGGGCAGCCTGTGCATTTGCCAGCCTTTGCCTCCCAGCTCTGCCTGACAGCAGCAGCAAACTTGTCCCTGATGAGCAGAACCATAAACAAATTCATGGAAGGCCTAGACAGATTTTGCAGGGAAGGTAGTTATCTGGGGAATTAAGGCTCAGTCTACAGCCTAAAACAAATGTGTGGGAGTTGGGCTAAGGGTCTTAGGTGAATTTCAGGTTTTCTCCTGCAGAGAAGTCAGGCTTCTGCCACAGCACTAATTAGAAGTCCATCATAGCGTTCACATCTGCTCCATGTGCAAAAAAGGCATCTTTTGGCTTCTTGCTTTCTCTACTGCTTGCACAGAAATCACACTCTCTGAAAATCATCCTCCAGCCCTTAGAGGCTGTCCCCAGCATGCATTTCTCCCTCCCAAGAGCAGGATACAGATATATGCTGTGCAACATATTCTGGTGAATTCTGCAGATAAAGATATGCAGAGTCTGCAGGCCAGGCTGACATCACAGGAACTGCCTGTGCCCAGGGGCACAGACAATTCAGGCTATGTTCCTGCATAGACCAAAAATCCAAGCTCTCTTCCTGCATGTCAGGTTGGAAATGCATGTTTCTATGACAGACTCCCGACACAACTTCTCTCTTTCTTTCTTCTAAGTGGTCCCCAGTGCTGCCACTGTCATCATCGTGGTGTGTGTGGGCTTCCTGGCACTCATGGTGATCCTCGGCATCCTGCGCATCCACTCCCTGCACCGGCGGGGAGTGGGGCAAGAGGTCCCTGGGGCTGCTGAGTCGGGGCACACCAGCACTGGAGGCAAAGAGAGCGACATGTTCTGGGACGACTCAGCCCTCACCATCATCGTCAACCCCATGGAGGTGAGGAGCAGCCACTGTGGCCGGGGCTGGGCGGGCAGTCGGGTTGTCAGACCTTTCCCCTTACCCTGTATTTCACCTCCCCAGTCCTACCAGAGCTGTCAGGAGAGGGCAGCAGGGAGTGTGGAGGGCAGAGCTGGCGAGGGAATGGAGGATGATGATGACAGCACCGACTCGGAGACACCCGACTCCCCGGACAGCAGTGTCATGAATGATCGGCACATCATCGGCAAAAGTGACATCTCTCACCGCTACTAGGAGCTTTAAAACACTCGCGAGTGGATCTCCCCAAAACATATGGCAGGAAGGAGGAGATGTCTTACTTTCAACTTCTTTCCTCCCCCACCGTGTACACATGTGCTCCTCCCTCATTGATCGTTTCTGCCTCCCATGTTCCTTCATCTTCTGCCATTCTCATTGTGGACATTCCCCACATTATTGCCCCCCCCATCTGGCTCTCCAGAAACATGTGTTAGGGCACTTACACATGACGGTGGCACGGTTCAAACTGTGATACAGGTGTTGGAAAGAATGGAAATCTGAAAGGCAGAGCCAGCCATAGGGCTCAGAGTGGGGTTTCTCACAACCCCTCCTCAGATATTATATATATATATTGTATATTTTTTCAATGTTGTCATTTGAGGTTTATTCTCGTTTCATGCAAAAAAAACAACAAAAAAAAAACAACCAACAAACCACTGCAGCTTTGTGTCGCTTTGTAAAATTGTCAATACTCCTAATACTAAATGAATGAAGGTAAGAAAGTTGAGGAAACAAAGTGGATTTTAAAATAAATGGATTTCAAATAAAACATTCAGGACTTCTGCAGTTTTTCACTAAAACCAGGGAAAGAAATAGTGTAGCCTCCAATGTGAAACTGGAGCTTGTCCAGAGAACATGTTTACTGAAATTACTACCTTATCTTGGGGAAGGGTTACATTTTTTAGCATGTGATGAAACGAGAAAAGCAAATCACTCAGGATCCTACTCCCTGCCTTTTTGAGAGCCAAAATGCTCTGTAAACACAATGTAGCCTTCCCCAGGACTCGGTGCTAGAGACCCACAGAGGAACAGAAGGCGCTCAAGCCTGTCACAGGCAAATGTAACGCATGCTGCAACCTGAATTCTTGAACACAGGAAAAGAAAATAAATAAGGCTCTTTCCATACACAGTATATCAACAGAAACAGGCCAAATCGCCTTAGCTTCATCCCTCTTCTCACATGATCTGCTTTCTTTATCAGTATGATGGAGTATTTTTTATATCAGGGGTTCCAGCCTGTAGAACAGCCCCAGCACTTCTGGAGGAAGGAGGCATTTTTCTGCTGAGCATGGAGGGGATGGAAACACAACAGATACAAGCACAGCATGGCTCTGAGCAGTAGCATGAGTTGTTAGGAGAGTGCTCCAGAGCAAGTTGTGCTTCTTCCCTGGATCTTCTTGGTCTGGGTTTTCAGACCCTGCAAGACAAAAAGGGGGCTGTCAGCTGCCTGACACATCTCGGGGCAATGGCTGCAACGTGTGAAGGACCCAAAGGAAAATTCTGCAATTTGTTGGCAGCTAAGGTTGAGAAATCCTCCTCAGGGGAAGGAAGGCAGTACAGTAGGTGGAGAGAGTAAAAAAGTCCCTCTGAGGGCAAAGGTTGCAGCACAAGATTTCTGCTTGCTGCAGTTCTTTCGGATGTTTCAGCTTAGTCTGTCTTCATGCCCAACTGTGCCCATGTATTGTTGCTATTGGGTTCAAAAGAAGTGAACATGCTGGAGCTAAGACACTGTCACACTTCTTTGCTTTGTTTCCTTCCCAGTAAGTTCCATGCCTTTGTTTCATCAAGGGAGTGTACAACAGCCACTGCCAAACCAGTGCCCTGACATCTTGAAGCACTGGAATAATTCAAGTCTCCAGAAGGACAAAAAAAGGCTACACCGTGCACATCGGAGCAAAAAACTTGGCACAAAATAGTCGTTGTGTCCTGAGAATGCCTGACCCAGATCTGATCTGTGACAAAAAGCACCACTTCTCAGAGCACTGCAAAAGACCAGGTCTCAGGACCATGATGTCCCTGTGCCTCCAGAGCAGCCTCAGCCAAGTGCTACAGCTTACAAGGTGGAAGAGGCCAAATGTACGATGAGTTCGTAAGTAGCCATCATGATGGCTGCATTTGGGATCTGGCGGATCAGGTGCGCCAGGAGCCCCCGGTATAAAGCCAAGGGTCCCTCTTCACGGACCACGAGCTGCAGAGTCTGTATAAAGGAATGGTACCGTGACCCTTCCTCTCGCAACCGTGTCCGAGCAACCTCTGGAGAGACAAGAAGAGAAGACATATATTAGCAGATGGATCCTACAGGCATGGCGTCTCCCCTCAAGGGGAACAGAAACAAGGAGAGTGGAGCCGCTCACCGTGTGGATATGCAATGCACGTAGCACATGTTTTGGAGACAGCAGCAGCGCCCATTAGTACGAAGAAATCACTGTTGTTTGGTGGAAGTGTGAGTGATGGGGAATGGGAATGCTGGCTGTTTCTCAGCTCCTTTTTCAGCGCTTCATAGATGACAAAATGTATGATGGTCTCTGACACTCCAGCATAGGAGGCAGTGATCCCACGGTAAAATCCACGCAGGCCTTCGGTGTGGTACACGCGCATGGCACACTGGAGAGCATTGCTGGCCATCTCCCCCTTCACCCTGGAAAGAAGGGAAAGGGTTAGGACAGCATACTGCACCCCGACCTATAGTGCTGCTGTGAACACTATACGCTATAAGCCTCTTGCCCAGCCTATGACTTGCCAGGTTCTAATGAAAAATCGCAGACCTCTCTCTGCCCACCACCCCTCAAACCAATCCTGATGTGACATGGAGTGGCTCTGCACTGCTGGCCTGCCTTACCTAGCTTCCAGCTGCATCCTGGTTTTCACTAGCCAGATGGGGTTGGTGAGAGTGGCTGAGCTAATGCCTGGGGAACAGAAGAGGAAGACAGCTGTGAGTGCCAGGATCACGCTGACAGTTCGTGAAGAGGTGCTGATCTATCAGCTCTCCGAGCTCTGCTTGGCAAGCTGCAGGCATTTGCAATTTGAGAATGACCTTGAGAAGAAATACTTAGGGCAGACTATTTGATTCTCCTCTTCCCCTGTTCCAGCCTTTGTCTAGTGGTAATTAGCTCCTCTGCCTCCAACAAAACCCTACTACAGGCCCAGGTGTTACAAAGAGGCAGGAAACAGAACGCAAATTTGGAAGAGAGGAGGATTTTGTTAGAGAACTGGGATATATCAAGAGAAATGGTTCTGTGAGTGGTCTAATTACATACTGCCTTCTCCCTCTCACAGCAGAATGGAGCTCATGATAGCAGCTGAAGGGGTAAAGACTAGACTTCAAGAGATGAGCATAAGAAGAATAAGAGTGATAAAACATTTTGGTTACCCAAGGAACTCACTTCTCCACAAGTAGAGGGAGAAACTTCAGAGCAGCAATGGAGAAGGAATGAAACACATAGGCATTTCCAGACAGAAGGACCTCTTGGTTTTGATTAGACAGAAAAAGCTCACCTCCACACGCTGCTGCTAATATGTGTACTTTCTTGGACTCCGGTACCAGGACGGTATTAAGCCTCTCCTTAGTAGTAGAATAGGCAGCAAAATATATAGCCCTAGTTGGAAAAAAATACAGAAGAGGTTACATCTCCCCTATGAGAAGCAGAGACACTACTGTGTGGTCTCATTCTAACTTTTCTTACTCCCAGCACAGTTTTGTCTAATGTGACATCAGATACCGTTTATATCTAGCCCACAGCAATGATCTTAACACTATGCTCAGAAGCTCCAGAAGATGTCTGTGTGAAGGGGTCCTGTGGCACAAGGCTCAGACTGCTTTCAGAAAGTGAAGCAACAGTTATGAGACAGGTCCCTTAAAAAGTGTACAATGTGAAGCACTGTCATGGAGCAGTACTCACCGGGAAGGAGCAACCCCAGCAAGATTTGGACCCAGACCTCGGAACAGGGACCGTTTGCCTTCCTTCTCAAGGATGGCCCTACGGAAGGAAAAGAACAGAGAAATCAGCAGAATAACTAAGCTGGGGAGTCTCCTGTTCCTCCTCCTTCTTGGTTCTTCAGTATTTCTTGTAATACCCTCTCCTCATCTCCCATGTTATCCTTTTTCTTCCCTGCTCTCATTTTCTCTCCAATCACATCTCCTCTCTCCTTTGGTCATAGAATCATGGAACTGCTTGGGTTGGAAATGACTTTAAAGATCATCTAGTTCCAACTACCCTGCCATGGGCAGGGACACTTTTCACTAGTCATTGCATCCTATTCTTGATAATAGGATGATAATATAGATGAACCTCAGCTCTACTCTCTTTCTCTCTCCCCTCACACCCTTCACCTGATGGCCAAACCATCACCTCCCTGGTGCTAACAGGCACACTGCCCTACTCACCTCAGCAACTTGAGCACTCCAGGAGATGGTGGGGTGGGATTCATCAGCCTCACACTCACTCCTGGCAGCTGTACCTCTGGGAGGCACAGAGGCCGCAGTGCCAGCTGGGATGACTGCAGACGTGTCTTCACCACTTCCAGGGGACAGGTCAGGATGGCTCCAGCTGTGCCACCACATCTAGGGCGTAGCAGAACATTTAAGAATGACCTCTGTGCCATAATAGGGCAATAATTCTGACCCTGCTTGTCCACAACTTCTCCCCTCTGGGAGAAGAGGTTAGGT